AGCCAGAATTGTTTGTGTGTGTGTGTTTTCAAGATGGAGTCTTGCTACCACTCCTGCTCTTTGTTTTAAGAGGCTGAATCATATTCCCCTATATGGATGGACCACATTTTGTCTATGCATTCACCCACTGATAAATATTTGAATGGCTACCACCTGTTGGTTATTGCAAATGAGGCTACTGACATCTCTTTGATACACTGCTCTCAACTCTTCTGTTGCTGCAGTAATCACACAGCCTCTCCCCTGCTCACGACCCTCCCAGTTCCTGATCCTGTGTGATCTGCCCTGTCACTCCTTGACCTCATTCACTGTTGTTGGTCCCCTCCCTCCATTCCAACCTCCACTTCAGTCACACTGCTTGCAGCTCAAGCACAGAAAGGTCATTCCTGGCTCGGGACTCCTACGACCATTGTTGCCTCTGGACACTTGCCCAGGTAACACACAGCCCTTTCACTTCAGCCAGGACTTTGCTCAGATGCAGCTCAGTGGTAGAGCACTTGCTACCATGCATAAGGCTCTGGGTTCAATCCCCAGCACCCCAAAACAAAACTAACAACAATCACTTCTCTTTCATAGTTTTTGTGGGTCAGGAATTCAGGCTGTGCTGGGGGATTCTGAATCAGGATCTCTTAGGATGATATAGTCAGACGTCAGCCTCACCTGAGGCTTGGTGGGTGCTAAGCATCCAATTCCTGGATGCCTCATTTGCTCACAGGAAGTTGGTGCTGGCTGCTGGTGCTTCCATTCCTCCCCACACAGGGCTCTGTCACAACACGGAGGCTGGTTCTCCATAGAAGAGCTATCTAAAGGCACATGGCTGAAACCACAATGCCTCTGTGACCCGGCCTCAGAAGTCACACACCATTACCTCTGCCACACTGGTTCAGTGTGGGAGGAGACTGCACAATGGTATGACTCAGTGCCATGTTGGAGGCTGGGAGCCTCACCAGCCTCTTCCTTGCCTGGCTCCTCCATAGCCCTTATTAACACCTACACCCAGAGGGACCCAGAGGGGAGCTCTGTGGGTCAGGACTTCCTCTGCTTTCTCTGTGCTCTAGCTCTGAAATGGGTACATATTTAAGAGACATTTGTTGAATGAATTAATGAATAAATAAATGGATAAATGATACCCACATGAGAATGTGGGAGAAGAATGTCCTTGCCTCTCCTCAGTGTCTGGTCCCCTCATCGCTCACCACTGCCTCTTTGCATGGTCACGGTCAGCTCCAGCCACACAGGCTCCCGATAGTCCATGGGGAGCACCTGTCTTCAGCCTCAGACTCAGGAAGGCCACTGGCCCCATCACCCTGTCTTTCAGTGTCTGTCCTTGCCTCCTTGTTCCTCACCCAGTTATCAACAGTGATATTCATGTGCATTCATTAAGTGCCTACTGTATGCTGGCGCTGTTGAATGGATGCTACAGTACAGGGAAACCATCACCAAGCAGTGATAACCTCTGTAGAACAGAGTCTTGGGGGAACAGTGACAAGTGGCATACCCGGGAGGACACAGAGGAGGTGATGTTGGGACCAAGCCCAATGGAGGGAGGATTGTCAAGGTGGAGAGCTGAGAAAAGCAGTCTTGGCAGAGGGCACAATACACTCAAAGGTTTGGAAACTCGTTCCAAGGGAATCAGTTTGCCAGTGCAACTGTAAAATTGTGCTTTCTTTCTTGCTATGTAGCCCAGACAGGCCTCAAACTCACAATCCCCCCCCCTTTAACCTCCTGAGTGCTGGGATTGTATTTACTGTCTAATGACATTTGTCATGGTGACAAAATGAGATGGGGGTGTCAGGGCCAGGCCATCTGGGACCTTGACAATGATTCTTTGCTTGACTAAATTTTAGTTGGGCTCTTGACCTTCTTCTAGGCCCATCTGTACACTTTCTTGTTAAATCCAGATTGAGCAAAAATCCCTGCTAAGTCTCCCTCCATATCTGATCCCCAGGATATCTGATGGGGTTCTTGTCCTCCACCATCCCCAGGTGATGTCTGATTCCTCTGGCCTGCCCTCAGCAAGAATCCTGTAGGTCAACATCTCAGCCTGTTTTCTGTTGCTATAACTGAATACCACAGGCTGGATAATTTGTAAAGAATAGAGCTTTAGCCAGACACCAGCAGCTCATGCTTGTAATCCTAGCTGCTTGGGAGGCTGAGATTGGGAGGAACTTGGTTTGAGGCCAGCCCAGGCCAATAGTTTATGAGACCCCATCTCCAAAGTAAGCAGATCAAAATGGACTGGAGGTATGGCTCAAGCAGTAGAGAGCCTGCTTTGCAAGTGCAAAGCCCTGAGTTCAAACTCGAGTCACACAAACAAACAAAAAGAATAGAGATTTTATTTATCTCACAGTCACAGCATCATATGATGAGACAGAAGCTGGATTTCATAACAAAGACACTCCCTGATAATCCATTAACCCACTATTTCATTAATCTACAAACGGATTAACCCAGTTTAGAGCCCTAATCACCTCTTAATAGTGCCACCTGGTCACACCTCTAACCAATTCACAATGAAGATTAAATTTCAACATGAATTGGTTTAGCCAGAATTCCCTTCACTCGTGGTTTTTCTTAGTAATTTCCCATCCATTGATCTCCCACCATGCTCCTTGGCTATAAATCCCCTTGTCCTTGCTGTATTCAGAGTTGAGCCAAGTTCTATACTTTTCCTCTATTGCAACAGTCCTGAATAAGGTCTCTTTTTTATAGGCTGTGACTACTGTCCAGCTCTGCTTTTTTCTTTGACAATGTCCAAGTATGGCACTCCCAGTCACTCACCAGGAGGTGAGGAACACCCTAGTTGGTATCCTAGAAGTCTTCACAGGGTGATCCAAGTGCCCCATCATGTGAGAACCACAGTGTCCAAGGTACCAGAGAGGGTTAGGACTTCCACTTCTTGGCCTGCTGAAGCTGTTTCCACTGGGGTCCAAACCCTGCAGCCAGCAGGAGCCAGCAAGAAGGGAAAAAGCCAGCCCTGTACTGTCTCCACTCTCCACTCCTGAGAAGGAGAATGATCAGGGCCCACCCTTTGACCTTAGGGGTGCCTGTATCTGCTTGAAGTCCCTGGGGTGGGCATTAGGGCTCATCCTGCCCCAGGCCAAAGCCTTCTATTGCTGCAGGCTTATAGGGGACTGTATAGAGCCACTGTGAACTAGGGTGGGGTCCTTGGACCAAATCCAAGCAGCAGCAGCCTGCCCTTGGGAGGGCACATCTTGGGTGAGGAACTCTGCTCCAACCTCTGTTTTACCATCCCTTACATGGCCAAGTGCAGTCCTGGGGGGGTACAGGAGTATAGATGTGAAGATGGAGTGCTGGCCTGCCTAGAAGGAGCCTGGGTTGGGCTGCTTGAGTCTGGTAGCATCTGGAGCTCCCACTGACTTACCCAATGTGACTCTGACATTATTCAAAGTTAAGTTGTGGACACCATAACACAGTGTGATAGATGCAGAATGACTGGGTCAGGCTGTGCCCCAGTGGACCCTGGGAGTCTGTGTGGGGCTCCTGGAGGAGGTAGCCCCTGGAGTCCAGATCTAGACTGGTCTAGGCACACGCACAGGCCAAGTACACAACATCTCTGGCCCTGGGGTGGGGCTTGTGCAAACTGGTGCTGAGGGCAGTTGCCTACCTGTTTGGAATGTGCTGGGCCAGCAGGGCTCACCCTCAGTGCTTGGCAATAGGGATGTGTAGTGACCACTACCAGTAGGCCCAAGAGTTTGGGGCTTCCAGATGACCTCTGCAATCCAATCTAAGACTCCCTGCATGTTCCCATCCAAAATTGAGATGTTGTAGCACTGGGGAAAACTGAGGTAGAGAGATGGAGGGCACAAGGACTACAGGGGTTCCTGTGCTGTTCAGAAGTGACCCCATTCATTCCAGGTGGGATTCCCACCTCTCAAATTGGAGTGTACTAATGGAGGCAGGGGACCTAAACAGGAAGCGGAGGCAGGTAAAACTCCTGGAACCACTGCTGGCTGTAAGACTGCCTCCCATGTCCTAGCTGGGACCTGGCACATTCCACAGCATCATGTAGGGCTAGGGGCTTCCTTTGTGGGCCTCAGAGTTCGAAAGGTCAGGCCTATAACAGCCAGGAAGCAGGAAGGAGAGGTAGAGACCTGCCTGAGGTCATGCATTTTATAATCCAGGAAACTGAGGCTCATACAGGTTAAATGACTGACATAGTTAGGGTCACAATGCCAAGCCAGAGTCCCTTTTTGCAGATGGGGAACTCAACAGGGTGCTGCCCCACCCAAATCACACTCTTGAGTCCCATTTCTACCCTGGATTAAGGGAACGTCTCTGTCCAGGCCCGGCCACTTTGGCTGATCCCTGGGGGCTACTGGATGCCTACGGGCCTTTTGCCTCAGACCTGACCTGCATGACCTTGGGTGGCTCATGTGTCCTGTGAGGCTCATTTTCCTCATCGCCAAAGTGGGGTTGCAATAGTCCAGGGCGGAGCTCCGCGGTGGAATGAATCCGACAGCACCTAGGCTACCCGGATCGCAAAAGGGCCAGCCTGCGGGGCGGAGCCTGAGGGGGACAGGACGAAGAACCAGAAGGCGCCCACTTAAGAGACGCGCGCTTCGGCCGTGCTGGGGGCGGGACTTGAGTGAGGGGCGGTGCTTGACTGAGAGGCGGGGTTTAAAGTCTTCCCGGAGTGGGCGGGGCCTAGTCAGGGGCGGGACTTAGGGCTCTTGGCCGCGTGGTAACTGAAGCTGGCGGGAGCGGGACTCGGGGTGGAGCCGTAGCCGCAGGGGCGGGGTTTAGTGAGGGGCGGGGCTCAGGGTTTCAGGCAGCGCCGTAACCTAGGGCTAGAGAGCGGATTTAACTTAGGGGCGTGGCTTTAGAGTCCTGGCAGGGACGTGACTGACGCTGCGTCGGGAAAGGGCGGGGCTCAGGGCTCACTGCGCGACGTAGCCCAGGGCAAGGGGGCGTGGCTAATTGAGGGCGGGGTTTAGGGCTGGCGGCTGCGTCGCCGTCGCAGCGGGGCGGGACTTAGCGGGAAGAGGCAGGGCGTCAAGCCCGGCTAGAGGGCGGTGGTCACCGGAGCCGGTGGGCCGGGGGGCGGATAGCCGGGGACGGCGGGGCGGCGCCGTGTCCGCCGCCATGACAGGTGAGCGAAGGGCCAGACCCGCGGCTGGAGCCGAGTGACCTTGGTTGTCAGCTGTCGGCGGCGACGCGGGTGCAGCCGCGTGAGGTGGCGGGGGTCTCCTAGGCTCCACGATACCGGACCGTGGGCTCCGGGGGTCTTGGGGCATGGAGGGTGGGGCGCCAGGTGCGGGTCCAAGCAGGTGCAGTAGCAGGTAAGCTCGAGCGCAGGTGCACGGCCACTGTCGGGGCTCTGTCGCTGCACCTGCGGCTTGGGGAGGCGTCCCGGGGTGGCATTGGGTCTGAGTGAGAAAGTGTGATTCTGGCACAGAGATACAGCGGTCATCCCGACAAGTAACCCCCGACGAAGAGGCGGAACGGGAGTTGCAATCCTGGGCAGTGTGTGATACCCGTGGGACTCTTGTGCTTCCTACTACCTTGGGGGACGCACGGAGACTCCAGCCGCACCTCTTTGACCCAGACAGGCCTAGGGAGATCGGAGCCAGCTACCGATTTACCCTCATCCCAAGGCTGTTGTGCTCCATGCTTGGAGGTCCCAGCTCAGCCATCCCCCTTCCTCGGGTCTGGGGACCCGCCCACCTTCTTCCTGATTCCCAGCAGCTGGGCTGCTTTATGGACTTTGTCCTGCGAGAGAAGTCCGTGAGGGTGTTGAGGGGGCCAGTGAGGAACCCCATGGCAAAGTGATCTGGGAAAACGGGGGCTACCAAATACCACACTTTTGTTCCTGAGGGTGTCGATTTTCTGCTTCATGTGATAGAAGTCTGGGAGTGATGCAGAGGGTCAGAGTGGCCCCAGAATTCCCCAGTTTTCTCTCCTTATAGCTTACTGGGTTTCATGGGCTGGAACCTGGTGACTTCCAGGACACCAGGCTAGAGGAGATCCCAGGTGCCACCTGCTCCACTTTTGTCAGCCCTCCAGACTTCTCGTTTATGGCTGCCATTTCTGAGTACCTAACATGCACGGGGCATTGCATTGGCCACTTCCTGTCCAGAATGGCCATATGGGGCCAGGTGGTATCTCATGCCTTTGTACAGATGGGGAAACAAAATTTAAGATTGTGCAGTTGCCCCAGGCCACTCTGCTGGTCCATGGCAGAAGCAGAAGCAGAAGCAGAGACCTGACGCCAGCACGGGTGTCTGTGCCCTATTCCCAGGTCCTTTAGCACATTTATCAGGGTTCCTAAGACACACAGTTTAGAGCAGTGTTGGCCTCCAAGGGACCACTGAGGCAGCCTACCTCTGGGGGTATCAGGCAGTTGGAGACCCTGACATGTGGTGTGGTTGGGCGTTGCCAGGCAGGAAGGCTCAGGGGACTAGAGAACTGAGTAAGGGCAGGTGGGACCATCTACCCGAGGGCCTAAATATCAGACCAAGGGCTTTGGTCTGGGCTTATGGTTCAGGCTGGGGTGATGGGTGGTCCTGGTACCAGCTGAGTAGGAAGCGGGAGAAGGGAATTTGGCAGAGACTTGTAGATTTTGTGCAGAGCGATCCATCTTCCTTTATCCGTGAAGACAGCCTGGCCTTTGTTTACCAGGGCCTGGCACCTGGGGCGCGGGAGAGGTCCTTGCTTGCATCTTTTTGTGCTTCCCAGCAGTTTGCATGCACAGCTCATAAGAACCGCAGGAAGTACAGGAAGCCGGTGCCCCAGAGCTGCGCAGCTGGCCTTAGCCCCTGGGCTATGCTGCCTGTGCCAGGTGACTCAGGGCTCCTGTGACTCATGGCTTGTGGGCAGCTGAAGCCTGTCTGGGATAGTGGCTTTCAGGGCAGGAGGAGGCCGCTATAGGGCATTGGCGGCCAACAAACTTTGCCTTTGGGCCTTGAGCTGGTGCCCATTCATTCCATAACTCTTTAGTGAGTTCCTACTGTGTACATATTGGCACAGTGCACAGTGGGGAGACAGCGTTGAACAAGCAGCCTTGGACCTACTCCTGTCTGGCAGGGAGCAGACCCACATAGGTGATTACACAGTTGATGTGTGTGTTAATAGAGAGGTAGACTGTCCGGGTGACAAGAGGTGGCCCCAGAATAGCTAAGCTGGGTCCCTACATTGGATCTGTCTCTTTCTACCTGACTGCAGTCTTATCTTCCTGCTTTGCCTCAGTTTCTCTATCCAGAAATTAGGGTGGTGTGGAAGGATAGTGGTCACAGGTAGGCATAGAGCCCACAGGATGCCCAGCATGTGGGAATTTGACTAGGGTTCATTCTAACTCTTCAGAGAGAGGCTGCAGGCCCTGAAGCCAGACTGTACAATGCTCTTGGCTGTGTGGCCTTGGCAAGTCACTGGGGGTCCCTGGACTACTGCCAAGTCTGTCTTCCACATAGGCTGTTGGGGGCTCAGCCAGCATTCTCAGTCCCCATCTTCCTCCTGCAGATGGCCTCAGGTAGAGATGGTAGCTGTTTGCCCAAAGTGTACGCTTAGGGGAAGCAGAGGCTATGAACCTAGACAACTCCCTCCCTGACTGTGCTCTGGAGGGCAGATGTCTCGGGTAAGGATGTTTTGGTGGGGTCACTTGTGAATGCAGCCCCCATTCTCACATTGTAAGATTTCCTGGTACAGGGCGGGCACACTGACAAGCTGTCTGTACCTGGGCCGTGCAGGGCCCTACAGAGCACAGCCCACTTGAGGGATGTGAGAATTCAGAAGGTAGAAGAATGACCAGCTAGGAGGAAGTAGCAACCAGACGGAGATGTGGGGAAGACAGCCTGAGTCCATGCCCCAAGGATGAAACCAGACAGGGGCCACATCTCCAATACAATGACTCTGTTTTGTAAAAAGTTGACCTTACACAGGTATAGTCTACTTAGAGGCAAATGCACTCTTTTTAATGAACAGTGTGATAAGTTTTGACAGTTGTCTATACCCATGAAACTATCTGCCCAGACAGAATCCAAACAGAACCTTTCTGTCACTCCGAGGGGTCCTTTGTGCTCCTTCTTGGGTAATCTCCACCCAACCCAGGAGTTGATCTGCCTTCTGTGACCCCCAGTTTTTCATTAAGATTCAAAAGTGGAATTTCTCAAATATGGCTTCTGCTTAATTAATAGACTTTATAATTTTTATTTAATTAACTTATTTGTTTTGAGCCAGTCTCTATCTCAGCCTCTCAAGTGGCCGGGGTGATGGGTGTGTGCCCTGTGCCCGGCTCTAAGGCTTCATTTTTTGAGCAGCTTAGTTTACAAAAAATTCACTGAACAATAGTACAGAGGGTCCCTTATACCCTCCTTCCCTTTCCTGTTATTAACATCTTGTGTCAGTACATCACTATTAACCAAAGTCCAGAATTTACATTAGTGTCCACTCCCTGTGCTGTGCATTCTGTGGGTTTGACAAATCATAATGTCCTACATCCACCATTTCAGTAGCATACAGAACAGTTTCATTATAAAAACCCCCTGTACCCCACTTGTTTGTCCTTTCCTCTCCTAACACCAGGCAACCACTGATTTTATTGTCCCCATGGTATTACCTTTTCCATAATATCTTATAATTAGGATCATAAGCTATGGAAGCTTTTCAGACAGGCATGTTATGCTTAGTAATATGCACTTACAGTTCCTACTGTGTCTCTTCATGGCTTTATAGCTCACTTCTTTTGAATACTGAATATTATTTGTTATAGAGATGAACCACTACTTACCTATTCACCTTTCTATGGTAAAATATGCAGAGCACAGAATGCATCATTCTTAACCATTTCATGAATGTTAAATACATTTATATGCTGTCAACTATCACTGCTAAACATTGCCACAACCTTTTTTAAATCCCAAACAAAAATTCTGTACATGTTAAGCAATAATGTCCCTTTCCTCTCTGCCCCAGCTCCTTGTAACCTGCATTCTACTTTCTGCATGAATTTCACTACTCTTAGTCCTGCATATCAATGGGATCATCTATTTATCCTTTTGTGTACAGTTTATCACACTTAGCATCTGTTTTCAAGGTTCATCCATGTTATAACACCCGTGTATTAGAATTTCATCCTTTTCTATGGCTGAGTAATATTCCGTTGTGCATAATATGCGTACACCACAGTTGGGTTATTTCCCCTTTTGGCTATTTTGAATAATGCTGCTGTGGACATAGGTATATCCATTTGAGTCCCTTCTTCCAGTTGGCTACCTAGAAGTAGAATTGCTGGATTATATTGTAGTTATGTTTAAATTTTTTTTTGGCAGTACTGTGGTTTGAACTCAGGACCTCCTGCTTGCTAGGCAGGTGTTCTATCACTTGAGCCATACTTCTAGCCTCTTTTTGCTTCAGTTATTTTTCAGGTAGTGTCTCATGTTTTTGCCTGGTGCTATCCTCCTACCTGTCTACTGTATAGCTGGGATGACAGGCATGTACTACCACACCCAGCTTACTGACTGAGATGAGGTCTTGCTAACTTTTTGCCTGGGCTGGCTTTGAACCAAGTAGGATTACAGTCATGGGCAACCATGCTGGGCCTGTGTTTTAAGTCTTTGAGGAATTGCCGTGCTATTTCCCACAGTGGCTGTATATATCATTTTACACTTCCACTGGCAATGCACAAGTGTTTGAATGCTTTACATCTTCCTGAACACATTTATTTTAGTATGTAGGTATCCTAGTGAGCATGAAAGGGTCTCTTGTGGTTTTGATTTGCATTTCCCTGAAGACTAACAATGCTAAGCATCTTTTGTGTGATTATCTGCCAATCGTACATCCTCTTCAGAGAAATGCCTGCTCACCTCCTTTGCCCATGTTTACATTGGGTTGTTTGTATCTTTTGTTGTTGAGTTGTGGGAGTTCTTCACATAGCCTGAAGATTAAACCCTTAGGAGATACATGCCTTGCAAGTATTGTCTCCCCCTTCTGAGTTTTCTTTTTCACTCTCTGTTTTCTACTCCTATTTTCACTCAAAATAGATTCTGGATTCTCTCATACTGTCCCATTGGTCTGTATGTCTGTCTTTATGCCAGAACCACCTTGTTTTGATTCCTGTAGCTTTTTAGTCAGTTTTGAAGTCAGAAACTATGAGTCTTCCAACTTTGTTGTTGTTCTTCTTAAAGAATGTTTTAGCTATACAGGTGCCTTGAAAGTCCAGGAATTTCAGGATGAATTTTTCTGTTTCGGCCATAAAACACTTGGGGCTTTGATAGGGATTACATTGACTCTAGATTGCTTTGGGTGGTATTATCATTGTAACGTGATTGTCTTCTAGTCCATGAACCTGAGATATCTTTCTTTTTTTTAGATCTTTCATTTTTTTCAGCATTGTTTTTGTAGTTTTCAGTGTATAAATCTTTTGCCTTTTTGATTAGACTTGTTTCTATTTTATACATTTCAATGCCATTGTAAGTGGAATTGTTTACTTTATTTTTGTGTTATTCATTGTTAGTCCATAGAAATGAAACTGAGTTTTGTAGATTGACTTTGTATGGCTTGCTGCATACATTAACTAGCTCTAGCAACTTTACCAGCTGGGGGTGTGGCTCGTGGTAGAGCACCTGCCTAGTAAGTGTGAGGTACTGAGTTCAAACCCCAGTATCACAGAAAAAAAAGATTACAAATTAAAAAAACTTTGAGATTTTTCTACATATAAAATCATGTCATCTGTGAATAAAGATGGTTTTAGTTCTTCCTTTCCAATTTGGATGCCTTTTATTTCCTTCTCCTTTTCTTGCCTAGTTGCTCAGGGAAAAACTTCCCAAACCACATTGAGTGGAAGTAGCTAAAGAAGAGAGACCTTGTCTTGTTCCTGACCTGGTGGAAAAGCCTTCACTCACTCACCATGGAGTGTGATACTGGCTGTGAGGTTTTCAAATACGGCCTTCATCATGTTGAGGAAGTTTCCTTCTGTCTTAGTCTGTTTCCTGATATTAGATAACTTATAATAAACAGAAATGTATCCTCTCATGGGGGCTAAGAAGTCCCAGATCAAGGGCCAGCACCTGGGAAGGGCCTTCTTGCTGTGTCACATCATGGTAGAAGGTAGAAGAGCAAGAGAGGGCAAGAGAGAAAGATGGTGAACTTGTAACCTCAAGGCTTTTTATAGTTTATGCTAATCCATTATAGTTGGGAGCCTCCCCGCCCCCAATTAGGTCCCATCTTCCCACACTGTTGTCCTGGGCAAGAAGTTTCTAACACATGCAGGTTCAAACCCTAGCAACTTGTGTTTATATCAGCAAAGGGTGTTGAGTTTTGTCAGATGCTTTTTCTGCTTCAATTGAAATGATCATTTATTTTTTCCCTTCATTCTGTTAAAAATGGTCTATCACATTGACTTGCATTTGTATGTTGAACCATCATTGCATTACAGGAATAAATCAGGTATAATCCTTTTATTGTGCTGATGAATTTGGCTTACTAGTATTATGTCAAGGATTTTTGCATCAATATACATAAAGGGTATTCTCCTGTCTCTTTTGCTTTTTTGGTGGTGGTACCTGGGATTGAACCCGAGGCCTCAAGCTTGCTAGGCAGGCTTAAGCCACACCACTTAAGCCACACCTCCAGTCCAAGGGTAATCTTCTGTAACTTATTTTCTTGTTTTGACTTTGTCTGGTTTGGGTATCATGGTAATTTGACCTCATGTAATGAGTTGTGACAGTTTCCCTCCCCTTCAGTTTCTTGGAAGAGTTTAGGAAGGATTGGTGTTGGTTCATTTTTAAATGTTTGGTAGAATTCACCAGTGAAACCATCTGGTCCTGGGCTTTTCTTTCTTGGCACAGTTTTGATTACCAGATAAACCTCCTTACTAGTTACAGCTCTGTTCAAATTTCCTATTTCTTCATGATTCAGTTTTGGTAGAGGGTATGTTTTTAGGAATTTTTTCATTTTATTTAGGGTTTTTTTTTTTTTTTTTGGTAGTACTGGGGTTTGAACTCAAGACCTCACTCTTGCTAAGCAGGCACTCTACCACTTGAGCCACTCTACCAGCTTTCATTTCATTTAGATTATCTAATTTTTTGGTATACAAAGGTATATAGTATTTTTTTTTTTTTTGGTGAGATTGGGGTTTGAACACAGAGCTTAATACTCACAAAGCAGACACTCTACCACTTGAGCCACACCTCAAGTCCATTTTGCTCTGGTTATTTTGGAGATTGGGTCTCACAAGCTATTTGCCCAGGCTGGCCTCAAACTGGGATCCTCCTGGCCTCAGTGTCCCAAGGAGCTAGGATTACAGGTATGAACTACCGGCACCTGGCCATAGTATTCTTTTATAATCCTTTTTACTTTTGTAAAATTCATAGCAACGTGCCCCATTTTCTTTTTCTTTTCTTTCCTTTTTTTTGAGACAGGATCTTACCGTGTAGTCTAAGCTGGCCTTGAATTCACAATCCTGCTGCCTCAGCCTCCTGAGTGCTGGCTGAGGCATGCACCATAAAATCTGGTAATCCCCATTTTTATTTCTGATATTAGTTGTTGTTTTCTCAGTTCTAGAGTTGGAACTCTGGGCTTCAAGCTTGCAAAGCAGGAACTTTACTGGCTTACTACTTGAGCCACACCTCCAGTCCTATAGTTTGCCTTCTGATATTGATCTCTAGCTTCATTCCTTGTGATCAGAAAAATATCCTTTGCAATGATTTCAGTCTTTTTTAATATATTAAGACCTACCTTGTGGCCAAAGACTTGTTTGATCCTGGAGGATGGTCCATGTACACTTGAGAAAAATGTGTATTCTCTATTATTGGATGGAGTGTTCTGTATATGTCTTTTAGGTCTAATTGTTTATGGTATTGTTCAAGTCCTCTATTTCCACATTGATCTTTTGTCTGATGGTTCTATCTGTTATGGAAAGTGGTATATTAAAGTCTCCAGTTATTATAATAAATCTCTCTGTTTCTCCCTTCAATTCTCTCAATATTTGCTGCATATGTTTGGAGGATTATATATACATATATGTATATATATATGTGTGTGTGTGCATGTATATATAATTGCTATATTCCTGATGAATCAACCCTTTTATTAATATATGACATTTTTGACTCTTAGCTTTTTTTTTTTTTTTTTTGTGGGACTGGGGTTTGAATTCAGTACTTCATGCTTGCAAAGCAGGTTTTCTGCCGCTTGAGCCACACCTCCAGTCCGTTTTGCTCTGGTTATTTTTGGAGATGGCAGTCTTGCAAACTATTTCCCTGGGCTGGGCTTGAACCTTGATCCTTCTGATCTTAGCCTCACAAATAGCTAGGACTACAGGCATGTGCCCAGCTCTTAGATGGTTTTTGACAAAGTTTATCTTGTCTAATATTAGGATAGTCAACCCTGGTCTCTTTTGTTCCTTATTAATGTGGATCTTCTTATATCCTTTTATTTTCAACCTGTATGTGCCTTGAGATCTACGTTAGTCTCTTATACACAGCATATAGCTGATTATATGTTTTGAAGTCTATCAAAATGTGCCTTTTGATTAGAGAGTTTAACCTATTTACATTTAAAGTAATTGTTGATAAGGGATGACTTATTTCTGCCATTTTGCTGTTGGTTTTCTGTTTGTCTTAGAGCTTTTAAGGTTCTCATTTCTTCCATTTCTGCCTTCTTTTATATTCAGTTGATTTTTTTTATAGTAACACATTTTTATTCTCTTCTTCCCTTTTGTGTATAATCTGTAGATATTTCTTTGTGGTTAATATGAAGATTGCATATAATATTGTAAAGTTATAACAATGTAATTTGAATGATACCAATCTAAGCTCAGTGGCATACAAAAAAAAGTTCTCCTGTGAAGTTCCATTCCCTCCCCCCCAGCCTCTGTGTACTTGGGGCTGTGGGACACATGGCCACAGGTTAGTAAGGCAGTGCACCTGTTCAGTTTCCATAGGGACCCTGTACCTGCCAACTTCCTGTCCATCCCTTAGCTTTAAGGACCTGTCCTATGGAGCTGTGTGTGTGTGTGTGTGTGTGTGTGTGTGTGTGTGTATTGCTGGGGATCCAACCTAGGGCCTTGTGCTTACCTAGCAAGTGCTGTACCACACAGCTGCATCCCCAGCCCCATCGACATTCTTAATGAGGAAGGCAGTGCAACAGCGATGCTTTATGGGTGATTCTAAGAGAGAAGACAAAACCTAAAGCATCCCCAGCTCTGGGGGGGACGGTCTTGCTGTTTGCTGTGAGGGGAGCTTCATAAGGCCTTCCAGACACGCTTCATCCCCAGTGATGCCAGCGAGGTTACCCTGAGCCCTGTGTTCCTGCGTCTACATAGCTGGGGGAGGGGGTGGTGGTGGTGCTGCAGTGCCCATGTCTCTGAGCTCCTTGTGGCCTCCCCAGGCCCCAACTATTTCCAGATGGCCCCGTGGAAAGTGTATTCTTTACCTTTCTGAGTCTGTGTTCTGTAGTGAGCCCTTAGGCATGGAAGAGGGACCAGAGAATGCAGGGAACCTTTCTGGGTCCCTACTGCACCTGTCCACGTCCAACTTCTGGTGAGGTGGGTCAACAAAGTAGGTAACTTTCCCTGTGTGCGATGGCCACCGTGTGATGTCTGCCATCCTGCAAGTGTGCCCTCCAGAGAGATCATCGCCCTTCCAGCAGCTCAGCACCAAGGCCGCCATCTTTGGTCCCCCTTGGGACTGCACTGGTTCACAACCTATACTCCCGCATGTGTTGTAGATCAGACCTACTGTGACCGCCTGGTGCAGGACACGCCTTTCCTGACGGGCCAGGGGTGCCTGAGCGAGCAGCAGGTAGACAGGATCATCCTTCAGCTGAACCGCTACTACCCACAGATCCTCACCAACAAGGAGGCTGAAAAGGTGCTGAGGAGGTGAGGGTGGGGGTTTCCCTTCCTTTCTAGGCTCGGAGAAGCTGGCCGCTGGTGCACGGTCATTTTCTCAAGAGATGTCACACCAGCTGTTTCAGGAGAGCTTATAGGTGACATGCTTACATCTGGGCACCAGGCTGCCAGAGCTTGATACTGTCTGGTGACAAGCTTTCTGTGCCTCAGTCTCTTCATATGTCATATGTCTGCTGTGACCACACCCCACAACATGTGACAACATTCCAGATTGGGGGAGCAGAGGGAGAGCTGAGGATGCAAGGATCAAAAGGCCTAGTGTTACCCTGGTGCCACATGGTGGTTCTTCACTCTGCATTTTCCAGAGGTTCAAAGACTTGCTGCCTTTTTCTCTTTGTTTCTTCCTGTGTGTGTGAGGCTAGAAGACTCGACCCTACATAGGTGGGCATTGGAGGCTCTTAAGCAAGCAGGCGCTGAGTCCATCCACAGCTGGGCTCATTCTGCCTCACTCAGTATCTGACGGTCACGTGCCTAGGGTCACCCATCTCAGGGCTGGCCTCTCAGAGCAGTGCCACACTGGCTCTGCTTTAGGTAGCATGTGAGATGCTCTGTTCTGGGAGGTCTAATCCCACCTACTTTCCCAGGCCTGGGGGACCCGAGAGGCCCCAGGTTTCAGGGGTGCTCCCTGGAAGCTGTCACTGAGAGTGAAGCAGACAGGGAGTGGGTACCAGTGACTTGCCTGGGTTTGTGGGGTCCAGGTCCTGCCCTCTGGCTGCCCTATTAGGTGGCCCTGAGTGAGTCCTTTCCTCTCTTAGAGCTGCAGTTTCCTTACCCGTCGTGGGGGGGTCACCGTTCTATTTGCAGGACTGTCTGAGGTTTGGGTCCTCTCCTGGAACAGACAGGATTGGCCAGGATAGAATAGGTGTCAGCCCAGGCCTGCTTCTGGTTCAGACATTGCCTACGTTACGAGAGTACAGTGATTTAAAATGTAAAGGCTCAAGTTCCCCTCATCACAGCAACTAGAAGTCTAACACGTGCTCAGTTGTGAAGTTTTGAAATTTCAGATGTTTAAACAAGGAAAAGAGGAACCACTCAGTGCCCACATCACAAGCTTCCTCACAGGCATCCAAGATTCTGTGTTTGCAGTTTCCTGGTTCTCATGGCTCAATTCCATTACCATGTAGTCTCATACACTGCCACCAGGGGGCAGCACCAGGCCACAGCTTCCTGGGCCCTGCCAAACGCTCTGTCTGCAGACCTTTACACAACTCCATGTTTATTCATCAAATGCATCGGAAGAACCAGTTCTTTTCTCAGCTAATTTTCTAAATACATGAATCAGGTTCCTATGACCAAATACTAGCAGTTATCATTATGTCATTACTTTAATTCCCTGCAATGACCCTCCCATATGGGTTTATTACTCCCTTTTAACAAGTCTCCGAGGATTGAAGGGACTTACTGAAGTCACACAGGAAGCCACACTGGGTCCCATCACTTAGGATGACAGCCCTCCACACCCCGTGGCAGTGTTGGGCACCATGTAGGTATGGTGAGAGGCCATGGAGGTTCTAATACCCAAAGAGGATGCTGAGGCTGGGGGCCCAAGCCCAGTGCCCCACCCTGACCCACAGCTGCCCACCTCCAGCCGGCCCTTCCTTCCGCCCCCCAGTTCCGGAACCCCAAGGCATCCCTGCGCGTGCGGCTCTGTGACCTCCTGAGCCACCTACAGCGGAGTGGTGAGCGACACTGCCAGGAGTTCTACCGAGCCCTGTACATCCACGCCCAGCCCTTGCACAGCCGCCTGCCCAGCCGCCACGCTTTGCGTAAGTCTTGCCTCTTCACCATCAATGATTCCTCCACTCTGGGCCAGGGAGGGCATCCTGCTGGCTGGTGATGGCTTGGACATTCTCAGTGCCCATCTGAGTCTGCAGTAACCCAGGCCTGGGCATCTCCTCCCTCCTAGCACCTCCCAGAGACCACCCTGTGGCCTCCCAGGAAGAGTGTCCTGGACATGGCAGATCTCCCCTCAACACGCACACACTTCCTAACTCCCTCGCTCTCTTTCTCTCTGTCTCTCTCTCTGTCTCCCTCTCTCTGTCTTTCTCCCTCTCTCCTTTCTGTCTCTCCCTCTCTCTCCTTCTTTCTCTCCCTGTCCCTCTTTCTCATGCTGGTTTTCACACTGTGACCTATATCTCATACTTCTGGTCCTCCTCTTCTACCGTCATTCTCATGAGGTAGTCTTAATTTCCATGCTGACAGCAGCCTTGTCTTCACAGCCACGTGGTGCTCCTAGGCCATCCCAGGCTGGATTTACCCCAGCCAACAGCCTACACTGAGGTTGTGTCCACTTTTTGCAGCAGCCAGTCCATGCATGGGGCTTCTGTGGGGTGTCCTCAGGTGCAGATGGCTGGTCAGAGGCTTGTGCCCTACTGGTTTTGGGGGTCCCAAGGATCTGGGGTCCTCTGAGCTGTTGGGACCAGAGAGGGCACAGCAAGGCAGGGATGGTGGCTCCATTCCAAGGCCTCTGTGCTTGGCCCCAGGAGGAAGGACTGCTGTCCCCAGCCAGAGGGATAAAGTGGTTTAGCTCAAGCCCCTCAGCCAGGACTCTGGACCAGTATCTCTGATCCCAGGAAATCCTCCCCAGGCCTCACAGGACACAGTGGATGCTTGAGGGCAGGTGAACAGGCCCTCTCACCCCAGCTGAGTGCTCCACGGGTCCTCCAGAGCACAGCTGAGTGAGCCACACCCCTGTGGGAGGTAAAGCACCTTCCATGGCTCCCAGGTGCCCCCAAGACCTGTCCGGCTGGTGGGCTGCCTGGAGAGGCCCCATGGGAAGGTCTGGGGTGAAAGCCCCCTGCCTGCCCTATCTGGCCAGGCAGCCCATGATGACAGCAGTCGGGCTCTCAACAGTGGATATTTATGTTACATTTGGTTTCTTGAGGCCAATAGGGAATGATGGCCCTGGATGTCACAGGAACTGGAGCAAAGGAGAAGACCCAAAACCATGTGGGTTCCCACGGGGTGATCCTGTGTGCTCAGGCCTGGCCCTTGACTAACCACGCTCTGTGATTTTGTTTCCAGAGAACCCAGAGTGCACAGAGCTTGACTGGGGCAGCGAGAGCCGCCAGCTGAGTGATAGGGGTAACGCCCCCCGCTGCCTCCTCTCTCTCTCCCTCTCTCTCTCTCCCCCCAAGGCTCTATCTCTGTCCCAGGGGCTTCTCTATCCCAAGTCGGGCTCCACTCCTGCCTTTCTGTTGGTGGACAGTCCCCTGAGGTCTGCACTTGCTGGCTCAGCACAGGGGCTGTTCACACTGCTTTTTCCCCAGGACCCATGAGTTTCCTGGCGGGCCTCGGCCTGGCCGCAGGACTGGCCCTCCTCCTCTACTGCTGCCCTCCAGGTGGGTGCAGGTGTCTCATGAGACCCAGACAAACTGGGCTCCCAAACCTGCCAGGAGGAGGGTGGGGCCCGGTGTGCACTCACACAGTCCCACATACTGAAGACCTGTGGGTTCCTCTGCCGCGGGGGAGCTGTAGGCTCACTTCTGCACCAATTCTTGTCTTTTAACTCAAATGCCAAGACCGTGTGTGAGCAGCAGGGCACAACGGTGCTAGTGCCCAGGCTGCTCTGTCTCCTGCAGGACACAGGAGACCTGGACAGCTCATTGTCGTGGCTGGGTCTTGGATCTCTGCCATCCCCCTTTGTCTTCCAGACTACAAGGTGCTGCCAGGGGCCCGGCGCGTCCTTGGCTTCTCGCCCATCATCATCGACAGGCATGTCAGCCGCTACCTACTGGCCTTCCTGGCAGATGACCTGGCAGCGCTCTGATGAACCTAGACCCTGGGCCTTACCCACTGCTCAACCAAAGAATCCCCTGGCTGCCTATTGCTGGGCTGGCCCTTCTTTTTCTAAATGCTCATTTTTCACTATTTATAATTTCTATAAGAAGCACAACACCTTTGCCCTGCAAGGTGCCTAATGACATTAAAGGCTGAAGTTGTCTCGTCCTGTCTCACTCCCTTGTCTGGGAGGGTTCCTACTGGGGGGTCCCAGGCCCCAGGGTGCTCCTGGTTTTGTCGAGTCTAGCCATTGGCCCAGGTCTTCCCTTCCCTGCTTAGACATCTCCCTCACTGACTCTGCCCACTTACCCTACTGTTCCCACCCCCAAGATGTCCCACACCATCCCCCTCTCCCTCAGATGTCCCCCTACACTGTCTCCTCCCTTGATGCACCTCAGCCTTCTTAGCTACTGCATAGTGGCCCTCACCTGGTCTTATTGTCCAGCCCACAGGTCCAGCTGGGGAGGATGGACTGTGGTAGCTGGCCGGACAGTTCCAAGCCCTGCCTGGTGGGACCTCCCTGCTGCTGACTCTGTGAACCCCAGAGCTGGCCACTGGGTTTTGGGCAGCAGTGGATGCCATGGGCCTCCAGCAGGGCATTATGTGTGTTAGCTCCGAGTCCTCCAACAACCCTAGAAGGTGGGGACCATTATCCCCTATTTTGCTGATGAGGAAATGGCCCAGAGAAAGGGTTGCTGCCCAGGGTCACAGTCACTCAGCCATTAGGGGAGATGGGCTATCAGGCCAGGTTTGAACTCAGTCCACCTTGTCCCTGTTCCTTTCCCATGAGTGTCCTCACCCTCCTCACTGGTGCCTTTGGCCTGTGGTCACTGATTAGTGACCACACCAGAGTCTCAGCTTCTCCACACCCCTGGCCAGCCACTATGTCCAGGGAATGCAGGTGCCAACGGAGCTGGGCCCTGGAGCCCATGTCCCATCTTCTATCAAAGGTAGATGAGGTGTCAGTGCCACCAAGGATGGGCCAGGCAGGTCCAAGGACCTGGCTGCAGGTTACAGCCTTCGGCAGGAAATATACAGTCCTAGTCACTGACCCACAAGGGCCACCCTGCCCAGGTGGGAGGGGATCTAGATTGAGAACAGAGCAGTCTGCAGAATCATTTCTGTCATTAGGTGTGAAATGCCGTGGTGCGTGTGAGGTTCTGGACTCTGCTTCTCATGACCGCCCCTAGGCCACAGCCCAGAGCCAGGGCCCCTGCCGTCTGGGATGGATCCCTGCTCCCACTGAATTTGGCTGTGCCTGGCCAGTCTCCACTGCTGGCCTCAGCCTCAGGATCTGTCCTAGAAATGTGCCAGTGGACACCAGAGGTGAACACACAAGTCGGAAGGCTGGGCACTTTGCCTTTGGCTTCCATGGTCAGACCTCCTCGAGGGCCTCCTACCTTAGGCAGCTCCTCTGACTACCCATGGCTGGGGCCTTAAGACACTCCCCAGCCCTCAGCTATGGCTCCACCCAGTCGCAGCCTCTCCCTGGGGACCACAGTACCACCCTCACCTTACAGATAAGGAAGCTGAGGCCAGAGCCAAGATCACACGGCAGAGAAGGGGTCAGAACAAGGGTGCTCCCTGTGCACTCTCCCCACACCACCCCTGCCTCTCCTCACCGCACGCACCAGTGCACACACATGCATGTTGTGCACACACTTAAACACACGTGCGCACTACTTTGTACATGTGTGCACCTGCACATGGGTGCACACTGCATATACACACATACATATGCAGTATGTCTGCACACACAGACACATGCAAGGTGGGAGCTGTACACACTGTGTTTTGGGGAAACAGAGTGACACTTGTCAACCCGCAGAATTACAATGAGTTTGCATTTTCCCGAGGCACGTGCCGTGCTGTGGAAGGGACAGGCAGGCCCTGACCTGGATGATACAGCAAGTGGGGTGAGGTAGGCCTGAGGTCAGGCTCTACCCTGGTCTCAAGTTCAAGGAACCCAGGAGAGTGGGAAACAGAATGCAGGGGCAGGCGGGGGGTTGCGCTTCCTGGTCACCACATAGCCAACACCTATGGTCATTGTAGTTGCTCGGGTCTGCTTCAAAGAATTTCAGGCAAAGGGCCCTCCCACCTACCAGGACACCATGTGCCCAGAGAAGAAAGGTGGCTTTGGGGATGGCCAACGGCCACCAGTTCCCATGTCACTCCCCCACTTCAGAGCTGCAGGACCAGTGCATGTGCTTCCTAGACTCAGCCTCAGTTTACCCATTTGTAGCATGGGACCCCACGGTGGGCACTCTGCACGAGCATGGTTCTCTACTAAAGCCCTGAGCCCAAGGACAGTTTCATGAACTTACCGCTTTGCTAGAAGGTGGCCCTAACACCGGGTAAAGGTGACACTTAGTGAAGGTGACAGAGACCTTGATAAAGGCTAGGGACACTGACCAGGGTGTGGACAGGTTGAATTTGCCCCTGGAAGATGAAGGAGTGATTCTGAGGTCCGTTAAAATTCTAGTTTCTGTCAGCTAAAAGTTAGAAATTTCCAGAAACAGGTGAGGCCCAGGCCTGTGGCCTGGGAAGGCCCTGGGACTGTCCCTGCCTGAAACCGTGGAAGACACACAAGAGCTACTGAAATGTCCTGTGAAGTCTGACTCCTTAGGTCCTGTGGGCAGGGTGCCACCCTGAGTGAGGACCCACAGGACATGCTTGTCCCCTGGACTTGGGCCAGGATTGCCGATTTTCTCCTGACCCATGACCATGACCCACTGAGGACCTGCTCTGAGGCCCCTGGCCTGCCTGTGCGTGAGCACAAGCCATCCTTGGACACTGACCCCACCCACCAACCCTCAGCCACTGGGGCCCCATCCCTGACCCACTGGACTTGAAGCCTGCAGGTGAGGTCTTCAATGTCCCTGTCCACAGCAGGGCCCCTCTCCCATCTGCTGCCTCCCACCCAACTGGCCACCTGGCTGGTCCTCCTAGGCTGGGGCCCATGGAGAGAAGACATGGAAGCTCCTTATCTAGACCACAGCATTCCATTTGGTGCTTCCTGGCCAACTAGTGCCCATTATCTTGAATGAGTTAAGCTCACAGGGAAGTGAAAGGCAACACAAGCCACTCACTTCTTGATGCCACCCTCTGGCGCTTGCCCTCACTGGCTGCCCCCAGTCCCCATCCCCACACTACAACCACGGGACCACTTGTTTGGGCATGCCACAACACCACAACTCTAGGTGCTCATGTACAGTAAGCTCCTCTGTCTGGGTCATCATTCAGGTCCTGGATAGGGTGCCACTTTCTGCAGGTGCAAGGAATAATAGTGGTCACTCCAAGTGTTCCCAGAATTGCGTAGGGGCTGGAGGGGGCTGCTGGGATTGGGAGAGAAATCTCACCACTAGAGATTTTCAGGTTGGGGGGGGACAGGTTTGAAGTGGAGTGGAGTATGACAGAGCACAGGAGGAGTCAGGCACAGGCCAGTGGGGACCAAGGGCACATGAGGTCGGAGTCTGGAAATGCCCATGTCTTGCACAATGTGGGGATGATGAACACATGATATATGGGAACAGGGCTGGATTTGGGGGTGCGCTGCCACTGCTTTTGTGTGGTGCAACTATTTCCACTCCCTTCTGGACTAGCATCTGCAGATTGGGCCCTCTCCCTCCTTGTAGATGGCTCACAGTGGCCCTGACAACATCCCCTAGCCACAGGCCAGAGAGTCACAGGCCATGGGTCACTTAGATGGGTCCTGGACACCTATCCTCATGCAGACTGGAGAAGGGCTGGCCTCCCCACTGACACAGCACCTGAGGGGCACTCAGGAGGTGGAGAACTTGGGGGCTGCTGTTCTGTCACTGGGGCCCCATCACTGCTCAGATGCTCCACCTCCTCACCTGTAAGGTGGGCAGGACAACGGGCACCCCTTTCAAAGTAAGGAGCGTGTGCATGACACCTCCTACAGTTGGAGGGGCGCTGGTTAAGTGGCTATGGGGCCCCAACTCTTAATCCAACCCTGAGGCAGGATCCTAGAGCCATCTCTCAGTGGAGTCAGGACCCCAAGGGGACGGTCTGTGCCTTGTATCTTGGGGCTTCTCACACCCCACTTTCTGGCAGACCTGGTAGCCATGGTTGTGTGGAGCAGGGCTGCTCTGCCCTGAAACTGGCCTGGGAACATCCATCGGCTGGAGGAAGGGCAGTGGGCAGGGCTGGGGGCACAGGAAGCAGCTGCTGGAGCTGCTTCCTCAGTCCACACCCAGGTCAACAGCAACTGGAGTTATTGTTTCTCCCCAAATACATATTGAGCAAGAGAAGAAAACCACAGAAGCACTGGGCCCCTGATTTTCAACAGAGATGCAGTAAGGAAATGGGAATTACACCCCCATTAAACTCAGGAGGAGAGAAGACACGGGGTATGGCGGACATGGGAAGAATGAATGACCTTGGTCCAGCCCCAAAGGGTCACCTTCTCAAAGCACCCAGATCAGGCTTTCTTCAACCTGGCCCGGTGACCAGTAAACAGTAGGGAGAGCAGAGCCACAGGACCACCTGTAGACCCAGCAAGTCTTAGAAGACACATCGCTAGGCAGTTAAGCAGAAAACCAGTTGTCCAAGGACAAGCCTAAGCAATGAACAGACATCTGGGAGGGAGGAAAGGAGGGGCTGAGGTGACACCAGGCTGGCGCAGTGCCATTTCCTCACTGGTGACACTGTTTAGGGATGGCCTTGAATAACCCATTGAGCCTGATGTGTCTATCAATCCAACCATCTATCTATCATCTATCTCCCAATCAACCATCATTCATCTACCTATCGATCTATCCATCTTTCTACATATCAACTATTTTTTAGTGATTATCCATCTCTCAATGTGTCCATCTCTCATTCAATCATCCTTCATTCCATCTTATCTGTGTTAGTCAACTTTATGCCACTATAACAAAATACCTGAGACAATGAATTTATAAAGAGAAAAGGCTTATTTTGGCTCCCAGAGTTGGAGGTTCTAATCCATGATTAACTGGCCCTGGGCTGCACATCGTAGCAGGGGTGCATGGTGGAGCAAAACCACTTATCTCAGCAGTCAGAAAGCACGAGAACAAGGAGGGGGCTGCGACCCACAATCCCTTTCAAAGGCACACCTCCTATGACCTAAAGACCTCCTACTTCACTCCACTTAAAGGTTCCACCACCTTCTAACAGTGCCACCTCAGGGACCAAGCCTTTAGCACATGGACTTTGGGGAGACACTTATCCAAACCATGGCTCTGTTACATCTCTCACCTGTCAACCCACCCACCCCTCTACCTACCTGCTCATCTACTAATCACCTTTCTATTACAGTGCAAAGGTAAAGGAGGCAAAGTTCCATCTCCCTCAGCCCTCCGTGGTCTCTCAATCTCTCAACCCCATGTGATTGTCCCCACCACACCCCACCTCATTGCTTCTGCAAGCCACCAACTCAGGGCGCATGCCCAGGCTGACTCTGCCTAGAACATTCCTCCCCATTCAGCATCTCTTGCTGACCCCTCTGGAGGATCCCCCAACTCTGCGGGCCCACTTTCTTGCCCCAACCATCATGCCCCAGACCTGGAACGGAGGAGCTACACACTGTCTCTAAGACTCCCCTGCCCACCTGGGAGGGAGTCCGGCTTAACTGACAGCTTTGTGGGCCTCAGGGCAGTCATCTTGGTGCCTACTCCAGTCCTTTGAGGGAATTTTCTCTCCCGGCAAAGGAGGAACTAAACCATATTGTGGTGGTTAACATCTGGCTGTTGACTGTGAGACCAGGCATGCAGGTGGCTTGTGGCCAGCCCACACCAGGGCCTTACCAGAGACCCTGCACCAGGCAAAGCACCCTTGAGTGGGTGCTGAGTGGTTGCTAGCTACCTCCACAGTGAGCAGCTAACATTGCCTTGCCTCTGTCAGAGGCACACTTTGGGCCCATGGCTTTTTCAGTTCGGCTCATCTTGGAAGGCATTCCATGTTTTGACTGCTTTTTACAAGTCTCTTATGAGAAAACGCCTCATGAAGCAGGAGGAGCAGGGAGTGAGACCATGGCTTCTATGGTTATCAGTTAAGTCTGTTCATCCACTTCCCTGGGAGATTTTTTGTTTCCTTTTTTTTGAGATGGAATCTCAAACTCCCAGGTCCAAGCAGTTCCTCTGCTTCAGTCTCAAACAGGTGCATGCCATGGTGCCCAGCCTTTCCATGGAGGACCCTGGAACATCTGACCATCTCACTCCCACTCATCCTTCAGCTTAGGAACCTGACTGGTCAGCCAAGACCGCAGGGAGCTTCCACGACTGTCTTAAGGCCTCAGGTGCTACAGCCACTCCAGGCTAGTTGCTCAGATGGTGGAGGGGAGATGGACAGGGAAGTGGGGGCCTCAGAGGAAGCAATTGTCCCCCCACCTTGTCGCTTAGGAAGGCTAGTTGGAGGAAAGGGCAGAGGCCAGCAGTAGATGCCTGGGAACCTCACCTGGAGGGAATCAAGTGTGGGCACCACTTAGCAGGGCGCAGAGCCAATGTGAGGGAAGGTAGGGCAGATGAGGGCTGGGCTGAGGGTGCACTGGGAACAGGGGGAGCCAAGATCTGAGGACCAAGGTGAAGAACGCAGACCTGGGAGTCAGTTTCTGCTGGGCAAGGGGCCCCTGTGGGCAGGTGATCCTGAGTGCAGGATGGTCTCCTCCTGCCGACCACGGGCAGTGAAGGACACTTCCAGGAGTGTCCTGGAAGTACTGAGTATGTGCCAACAGGCCTGCAGACGGGGCCACAGCAGGGCCCTGGGAGCAGAGGGTGGTGCAGAGTCCAACAGGGAGGTGTATGAGTTTTATTGTCATTCCTGATTAGAAAAGTGGGGTCCTGGACCCCTGAGGAGAGGGCTGAGGCTCTGCCCCATCACTGCTGGTGGAGGCCTATGGCCCACATAGGCATGGCTGCCTTTTGATGGCCACCATACCCAGGCACTGAGGTGAAGTCAGTGGCCAGTAGGTGCTGCTGGCTGTACAGTGTCCCTGGGTTAGTAATGGCAGAGGCAGCAGTCACCAGGGCAACCTGCACAGGCCCCAGGGAAGTGAGGGACACTGGTGCACTGGCAAAGGGAGGGGTATCTCCTTGTCCTTCTTGAATGTCCTGAGACAGAGGCCGGTGCCAGCCCCCCCCCCGCCCCCGGTCTGGCCCATCCACAGACATGCTGCATGTCCTTGGGTAGGCTGTGACCCTTCTCTGGACACAGATCTCTGGTCTTCTGGGCCTATGTCCAGCCCCCACACACCATAAATGGCCTCCCATGTGTCAGTACAGTCGGCTCATCCATCCCTGGACGCTGCCCAGCAGAGGCCAGCCTGAGCTCTGGAGGTTTCAGGAAGTGCTGCACATGGGGAGGGGAACACTTCCAGGGCACGTAGTTCCAGAGGGCTGGGCTGTGGGGCAGGTGCCATTCGGGGTTCTGGAAAGAAGAGAAAAGACACGTTAGAACTGTCCGGCAAGTCAACAGCGCCCCAGGCTAGAGGGGCCTTTGAGCCCATTCTGGTGACCAGTCCGTGGGTATCAGGGCCACTCAGACACTTGAACACTCAGACTTGGGAGTGAGAAGGGCCTGTCTGACCTGAATGGGTCATCACAGCTCTCAAGTCCTCAGTTTCTCCTCTGAAATACACCATTCCTGGATCTGTCAGTACTTAAAGGCCTGGCCCAGTGACCACAGCCACCCACTAGGTTGGAGCGTCTGCTCCGGCAGCTTCCAGCATCACTATACACGGTGGTTCTGGACTCAGACCACGGGAGGAAGGGACCAGGAGGAAGAAGCCGTGCACCCACTGCCCCTGACCAGGTGATTAGCAAGCCTGGTCTTGCCAGGTGCGAGGGGCAAAATGGCATCCAGGGACTCTACAGGAGGATGACACCACGTAAGACCACCCAGGTCCCAGCCCAGCAGAAGGGTGGCCTTAGGCTCCATGGCCAGGGTGCTGGGGTCAGTGTGTTCTTCACAGGGGATGTGCACAGCCCCAACCTAGGCTGCATGGACTGTGGTAAGGATGGCCCCAGGCTTGGTCTGAGTTATCCAGGCCCCCCTGCTCATCCTGCTCCCAGGCTGGGCATCCTCAGGCAGGCACTTGCCCTCTCTGAGCAAGGACAGTGGAAGGGGCATGGGGAGTGCTTCCAACACTACACCCTGACCTCAGTTACAGATCATGGGGTGATGCAGACTCCTTGAGGCCCAGCAAGGAATGGGTAGATGGGGTGCCACAGGGGGTTCATGTGAGAAGAACCCAGATCCCACCATCCTGGTCAGAGTGGGGCAGCAGGGTGGGCAGGAGTTCCCTACTCAGGTGAGGGCTCATATGAGGTGCCACCTGCTGAGCGGGGCTGATGGGAAGCAGAGCCCCTATTCTCAAGAGAAGCCAGAAATCTTTGAGACAAGGTCTTGTCATATATCCCAGGCTGGCTGAACTCCCTATGTAACTAGGCGGCTGGCCTCCAACTTGCAATCCTCCTGCCTCAGCCTCCCAAGTGCTGGGATTATACAATGTTTCACCATGTCTGGACAAGAAGAATCTTTTTTTTTTTTTTTTTTTTGGCAGTGCTGGGGTTTGAACTCAGGGTGTAGGGCTTGCTAGGCAGGTGCTCTACCACTTGAACCACATTCTTCGTCTTTTTTTGCTTTAGTTATTTTTGAGGTAGAATCTCGTGTTTTTGCCTGGGGACTGCCTGAGACTGCAATCCTCCTACCTACAGCCTCCTGCTATAGTTGGGATCACAAGTGCATGCCACCACACTCAGATGTTTTGTTTGAGTCTTGCTAACTTTTTGCACAGGCTGGCCTGGAACCATGACCCTCCCGATCTCTGCCTCCCAAGTAGCTGGGATTACAGGTATGCACCATTTTTCCTGTGAGTTGTCCAGGTGTTTAAATGGCAGCTCCAGAGCTGGGGATGTAGGCACTTGCCTATCATGTAGGAGGCCCTGTTTTACTTGCCCAGGAGCACAAAAAAATCCTAGATCAAAAAATGGTGGCTCCAAAACATGTCTTATCTAAACACCCCCATTGGATCCCAGGCAGCCAGCATGGGGGACAGGGCTGACTGAAGGCAGTGACCAGGAAGAGACCTGGTGTGGACAAGGGTGCCCCAGCCTAGGAGGAGGATCAAGGAGAGCTGGCCAGGGACTCGCAACACCCCAGGAACCTCCCACGGTCAGGACAAACAGCAGGTTCCGTGCTCCCATAACAGCTCACCTGGTGCCCTATTGCCGGGGTGCCACATCCAGCACGGGCTTCTGGACCCCAAATGCTGTGATGAAGATGTTGACCACCACGATGATGAACACCAGGCCTGTGGCCAGGTTGTTCAGGAAGTCCAGCTTGGCGTGCTTGGCTGGGTTGTTAAGGTCGTTCTTGACTGTGGGCAAGACGGATTGGATGATGTCTAGAGCAGCCAGGCCTGACATGGAGGGGGACGCCCTCTTGGGGACTGTGCTGAATTAATGTTACACATGGGCTCTCAGCCATTTAGGGTGAGTTTTGTTCCCCAAACAAAAATTGCCTGTTTTGCTAAAACCCTGGCTTGGGTGGCCTATCTCTGTAGCACCGGACTTTCTCTGGGAGGAATTGAAGCCCAGGCAGGTGAAGTACCGCACTTGGACATCAAGCCAGACCAGGTTTGTTTTCCAAGGCAAAAGAACCTAACCTATAGATCCTCTCAACTCCCCAAGGTGCTACGATCACACCCACTTCACAGATGGAGAAACTAAAGCCCCAGGATGTCCACTCATTTGCTCCAGGTCACACAGTCAGGAAGCAAAGGAGTAAGGACCTTGCGCCCTTGCTGCTCTTGACAAGAACCTCCTCTGGTTAGGCATCGAGGCTCCCCTAGGGATCCCGACAGTGAAAAGGCAGCATCCTAGGGAGCCCCAGAGGGCCCAGCCCACCTTCCTGTCTGCCTGTGGTCTGCATGTCTATCCATCGAGGAAGTTGGTCCAATGTTGAGGGAATGTTGTTTAGTGACTTAGTCCAGGGGAGACTGGAATGTTTAAGGCTGCAGCCTGAATTTGGGGTTTTCACCAAAACCAAGAAGAATGGCTGGACATCCTGCCCGTGGGGATGGTGCATCTCTTCCTCCAATCCTGGGTCAGGGTCCCCTCCTCACCTTTTCTAGACCAGCGACTCCTCCTCACCTCCCGAGCCAATGACCAGCACTCAACTCCTGGGCCAGGGTCCCCTCCTCACCTCCTCGGCCAGTGACCCCTCCTCACCTCCTGGGCCAGAGTCCTCTCCTCACCTCCTATGTAGCTTGACTGCTCTTTATCACTGGACAATTGTCACCAGAGGTGGATCTGAGCTGGTGCTGGCTAGCAGAGGCTACCTCGTACAGGGAACCAAGAAGACCCGGGAAGCAGGCACTACAACCCGCCCGCACGTCCAGACCCCAAGGACTCTGACCCTATTCTGTGCTTTCCACGAGCAGGAATGGGGGCAGGGAGGGGGGAAGCGACATTCTGGACCGCAGCACAGCTGGGGAGGGGTCAGCGCCCGGCAGCTCTGAGTGTGCAAGGTAGTGGGCGCCTGTGCAGGGGCTGTGTGAGCAGACAGCAGGCTCCTACCGAGGAAGATGAGCAGTACGCCCACGCTGATCTGGAGTGCCAGGGAAATGGAGATGAGAACGACCAGGGGCACAAAGAAGGCGAAAGCAGGGCCCTGCTCCACCACGGCCTTCAGCTGCGATGCGTTGGCCATCAGCAGGGCGATGTCCAGCATGCTCTCGGCCGCGCTCTTCTTGTTGGCGTAATGGTTCATGTTGATGGGCTGGTTCCTCCAGCCCCATCGGGGCGGCTGCGGGAGGGGGACGGTCAGTGGGGCAGGGTGGGGATTTGGGGATGGAAAGGGGGACTCTGCAAGTGTGGCCCAGGGCTAGTGCGTATTACTGCAACGAGAGAAAACCTCCCCTAGGAATAAAGTCCTTGAGAGAAAGGAAACGAAACAGGGACCTCAGCACACAAGCTGCCTGCGGCTGGAAAATGCATGGCCCTCGCCCTACTGCCCTGCAGGTTGCTCTACACCGCGGGCCTCCCCCCTCCCCTCAGGGTCTGACTTCTGCCTGCTGCCATGAAGGGAAGTGTCCCGTGGGTGGACAGATCTGTGCACACTGGCCCAGGCTCAAAAGAAGCCCTTTCCTAGGAGAGCCCAAAGGCCAATCCTGCTCGGCCACCCTCGCAGCCTCAGGGTCTGCAGCTCCCCCCACCCCCTTCCCACCAACCTCACTGCCTGAACAGCCTCAGCATTGCCCTGCAGGATGCCCCCCAGGACACAGCAGGAGTCCTCAGCACCCTGCATACAGTGGAGCTTAGTTGCCTCCTTAGCTTTCAGAGTATTATCGCAGAAACAAGTTCTGATTTCTTCTCTTGCAGTGGACGTCACCTGGTGACACCCATCTCCTGTCTTAGGAACCATCCCAGCCCTAGCCCAGCTCCCCCCACTATGCCCTGCCCAAAGCCACTTTCCATGTCACCCCCATCTTCCTAACCTAGCCAGTCATGAGGGGCCCCTCATGGTTTCCAGACATCCTCACTTTTCCAGAGGCCCCTGCCCCTTGGAAGCCCCCCATGGCCTCTCCTGAAGGACACAGGTCGCCTCCCAGGCTGCCTGGTTCATTTCAAGGCACCTCTAAGCAGCTGGTTTCCAAGCCGCCCTGATCAGGCCCCTTCCCAGCCCCCAATCCCTGGCCCTGGCCTCCTGTTTGCACAGCCCTGCACTGCAGCCACCCAGGACTGGGCACCGGGTTGAGGCAGTGGCCAGCCTCCTGGGGCCGCCCTGGGAGATCCTGTTTCCAGACTCATGAAAGATGCAGGCATGGAAGGCCAGTGCCATGGGGCCTCCAGGAGGGCAGCTGATGCCTCACATGGCCACTATCTGCAGGCAGGAAAACCATGAGGCAGCTGCTGCCGAGGGCAGGATTTCGCTTTGGTGGTAGTTTAGTTAATTATTTCTTTGAGACAGATCTCGCTATGTAGCCCAGGCTGGCTTTGAACTTGCTATGTAGCTCAGGCTGGCTTCAAACTCTCGACCCTCCTGCCTCAGTCTCCTGAGTGCTAGGATTACAGGAGTGTACCATCGTTTCCAGGAGTGTACAGCAGGCTCTGCTGCCTGTACCTGGGCTAGAACATTTCAACCATCTGCCTTTGGCTGAGTAACAAGCCCTCTGGGTTAAAATTCTAGACTCATAGAACACAGGGATGCCTCCTCCACCTGGTCCAGCCACCTCCTCAGTTTCCAGACCCAGCATTGCTCTGAGGTCAATGCAGGAGTACTGCATGTTCGCTCTAGGTGGCTGCCATCTTGGGACTCCCCTGAGGAGCAGCCACTGCCTCACAGGATGCTCACTGGACTCTGCCCAGCTCTGAGGCTGTCCTCAGTTCTGCCCTCACAACGCGATCACATGGGCTGTGGGGGTGCAGAGCATCCAAGGGTTGCTGGTCTACAGCGGACGTGAGCTCCAAGTTCTTAAGCCACAAGTGCCAAAGTGCCTTCCTTCTAGGCTGCCCCCGTGCTCGCCCAGGGTCCCATCCCAGGATGTGCATAAGAGACAAAAACCTGGCACCTCTGAGCTGCCCAGCCCTGCACTGCAGCCTCCAGGGACTGGGCACAGGATTGGAGGTGGCTGGCCTCCTGTAAATGCAGGTGCAAATCCTGTGAGAAGTGTCCACTTTTGGGGGAGGGGTTCCATACCCACACCATATATATGTACATATATACAGAAACACTTGCACACGAAAGTGTACATGTATGCACATACACCCACACCACATGTGCCACACAACACACCCCCACACGCCACATACATTTATGCACAAGCATATGTATACAACACACTCATATACAACACACATACAAGCACATGTATAAACACAGCCAACACGCACCCATGCCCACATGTGCCACACACACTGTACATGTATGCATGCAATCAACCCACACATGCACACTCCCACAACAAATACAACTACATGTACACGTATGAAATGAGCGTGTCCAAACACATGCACACACGTAAACATAGACCAGACACACAAAATATGCATAAAACATACACACCATATGGCACCTGTGCACAATTCATGTACACACATGCACAAATGCATATACACACACATAACACATATACCAATTCAGACACACATATATAAGCTGCACACACATTTCACACAACACACACACACATACGCAGGCATACTCATGTAGGCGTGCACAGACACACACCCACACGTAGACATGCATGCACACACATGTACGTGCACAATACAACACGAAGCACACACACGCATACGTACATATACCTATACCCCTGGCTAAGTGTGCTGGCCTCTGGGCAGGAGGAAGAATTCCCTTTTAATCGTAGCTCTTCTGAACCATGTAAGTATCTCACGGCCACAGGGTCACAAGAGAACACCCAGATACACAAATGAGCCCCACCAGCAGCTGAGCCCCATTTCCCATTTTCAGCTCTCAGCACCCCAGTCCCGGGAGCCTATGCTCTGCTCCCTCACACTCACTTAGCTGAGTAAACTGAGGCTTGGCAGAGGAGGCTCCTTATCCAAAGCCACACAGCAAGCGAGGACTGGGCTGGAATTTGAACTCAGGCCTTGGTGCTCAGAGCCCTGGTAGCTGACACCATTGTCCCCTTGGTCCCCACCGGGGAGGGTAGACGCTGGGAGGCTAACAGCCTGAGGGGGCTAAGCTCTTAGGGTGGGGAGGTTCCTGCCCCAGGCTCAGGACAGCCAGTCCCATTCTGGGTGTCAGTCTCCCATGTGTGCTGTGGGGCTGTGGAGCAAACACTCTGGGAAGACTCTGAGGCCGGGACCCAGCAGAAGCCCATATCCAAGTATCCCTCCTGGTGAAGGGCACTTCTGGCCCATCCAGCCATCTGCTTCCTGTATCCTATGTGATGATGACAAAGGCTGCAGGCCAAGAGGCTGGGGGGCCACTGCATGGAGTCAAACCCTGGCTCCCCACAGCCTGGCTCCATGGCCCTGACATCAGGCCCCTTTGCTGCTGCAACCTCCCCATCAGGACATGTGCACTCTGGGAGCCCTGCCTGCATACCGAGTGAAGAGAACATTCCTCTAGGCACCAAGAGATCAAGGCTCAGAGGGCCAGGCCCAGGGTACCTCCAGGAAGGGTACCATGAGGTGGACCCCAAGCTTACAGCTGCCCCAGACACACACTATAGGCTTCTATAGGGGCCACTGAGGTTGTGTGGGAAGATGGGGAAGGGGACTGCACAGTAGGCCTCCAGGGGATCCTGGCGGAGCCTTGCAGATGACTGCTGCACAAAAGAATCTTAGGAAGTGCAGTCAGGTGAATGGGCCTGAGGGCAGCCGGGGTCACTCAACCACAGGTCAGGGAGCCTCGTGGGCCTGACCAGCTTCCTGGAACATGATGGGAAACCCCTGCCAGCCAGGCCTGTGCCAGTGACGTGGCCAGTGCAGGGAACAAACACCCCGATTAATGAGTTCCCAGGGCCAACAGGAATTCCCTGAAACCCCAGCAGCAGCAGTGGGAGCTGGAGAGAAGCTGGACTGTTCCCTCTAAAAGCAAGGAAGGACCCTGGACGCAGGAGTCAGCCCTGTGTAGGGTGCTACCTGTGGCACACAGCTGGCCTCAGTTCAACATGGGGTGAGGGTGGGGGCCTGGCCAGGTGCTCCCAGGGCCACCTGACTATCCACAGCTGCAACAGGACAGCATCTGAACTATGCCTATTACACCTACAGCCTGGCTGGCCATAACACCATGAGTACTGTGGATCCCCTCCCAGGGCTTAGATAGGATGCTGTGGCCACAAATGTGGTGATGTACACAAACTGCCCCCAGGGAGAGCTTGCGTAGCGCAGGTGTCACCCCACACACCCTCTGTCATTCCTGATTCCACCACACCAATGACGACAGTGTGACTGCTCTGTGCCTGTTTCCCCATCTGTAAAATGGGCAGACAGGGACATGGAGGGGAGTGAATGAGGCAGGCTCAGATGTCCGTGACCTGATATGGCACACTGGTGTGTGGCAGGACTGGGATGTTCCCCTCTCTGGATACTGCAACGGACATCATCTCTGCCAACGAACCCCACCAGCTCATAAGCAACTGTATACAAACAAAAACTGCAATAAGAAAAAGGAAAGACAGCCTGGCATGGGTCCTCTTGGAGGGGCTGGAGAGCCATTAAGACAAGTCGGTACCCTGGGTAACCCAGAGGATGACCCAGCATGGTCTGCTCGGGGGCTATGTCCTTTGGGCTCAGCCAGGCACCAGCAGATGGTAGTGGTGGTGGTGGTGGTGGTGGTGGGACGGCAAGAGGCCTTGGGTGTTCCTCATCTGACCCACCTGCCTTAGCAGAGGAGGGCTAGGCCCACCGCCTGGCCCACATTCAGCACAAAGCCACCTGTTTCAGGCCAAGGCTGGATTTGGAGCCCAGCCCTCTGAGGCCTATGCCATCCACATCCAGCCAGCTCAGGAAGCAGGACCTACAAGGGCCACCAGTCCACAACTGCATTCCGGGCAGGAAACCCTGTGGGACAGCAGGAAGTATGGGAGGCGGGGTCCCCACCACAGCGGGGACGTGGGTGGACTGGGCACTTCCTGTGGGCACAGAGCTGACCAGGAGTGACCCCAAGGCCAGTCAGGATAGCCTTTAGTACATGGCTAAGCGTTTCATGCTTGCCAGGCAAGCATAAATGAGGAAAAGAGGAAACTCCCCTAGTAGCTGAGGCCATGCCTGCTTCAACCAGCCAATGTTCAAGACGAAATTCCGTGGTCTGGAGGCCCGAGATGTGACCCCAAGAACCCCACCCTGGGGGATGGGAGGGACAGGAGAACAGGGCTGGTCCCAGAGGGCTGTGGCTCAGCTGTGGCCCAGCTACCTCCCTTCTTCAGTGTCCAACATGAAACTGTCCCCAAAGTCATGCCCGGGGCATGACACCACCGCAGGCTGTTTCCACATTAGAATTGATGTTTACCCTTCCTCTGCAGCTTGCCCAAAGCGAGTTGACTCCAAGAAGAAAGCAGCTCACTCCCTGGACACTGATGGGGTCTCACATGAGGGGCCCTGGGCACAGCAGATGACACGGGCAGGGTTTTCCCACTGTCTGGTCTGAGATGACCCACTGGGCACCTCTGCCAAGGAGGTGCAACTGTGACTTGTCTGAGTTTCAGCCATCTAAGAGGTGAGCAACGGTTCTCATTTCACAGAGAGGAAAGTGAGGCTTCCCTTGGGAAGCCTTCATCTTAGGGAAGGTGGTGCCCTTTCCAAACCACTATCCAATGTCATCACCAGGAGAAGGTCTCTGTCACCGCTATGTGCCGCACCCTGCTCCAAGCATTTTCTGCACCTCACCCATGTAGTTCTTGCACGAGAGAACTGATACTCACTTGGGGTTAGGCACTGTTATTTCACAACCCCATTTCACAGATGAGAAAGGGATACAAAGCACTACAATGGTGAGTCCAAGAAATGGCAAGGTGGGGTCCTGAGGGCGGGAAAGGGGACAGGGTCTCGAGTGGGGCAGCCTTGAAGGCTGGCCACTCTTTGGGAAGCCTCCTATCTTGAACCAGAGGCCTCCCATGAGCTGGGATGGGGCCTGTGAGCCCTTCCCCTGCAGCCTGGCTCCCTTCCCACCACCTCCCACCCAGTCCCACATATTCACGGTGATCCAGCCTCTGGAACCTCTCACTCCTGCTGTTCCCTCTGCCTGCATGCCCTTCCCCTCATATCAGAGGACCAGACCTGTCTGTCCCGTCTCAGCCTCCAGGGCCAGTGCTAACAACCCCACCTCCACAGGAAGCCTTCCCTAACCCCGCGCTCCCACCACCATCACCACCACAGTGGCCCTCCAAGCCCCTTGGGAATTCCACACTTTTGCCTTCAGTTCTCTGCCTGGTCTCTTGAAGGTACATTAGAGGTGGGGGCACAGGGTTGCATCTCTCTCTCTCAGTCCCCAGAGACAAGACAGTGACCCCTGAGCACCCAACCCAATTTCTCCTGGGCCCAAGATACGTCCAGACTCCCCTGGGAGGTACAGCCCAACCTGCTGCCTGAAGAGATGAGCAAGGATGGCACTGAAGAGAGGGTACAGCAGGACAAAGCCAAGAGGTGGGGGGCAAACAGAATCCGTGCCCCCCGCCCACTTCAAATCAGCTTCTAAACAACTGCCCATTTATTGCCTGATTTTGCTTCCTATCAGTTCTTGAAGGCAGTCAGGGAACACTTACTTTTCCTTTTTAAGAGTATGTATAGAAGGCCCAGAGAGGTAAACAGACTTTCCCAAGAACAACAGCAGGGGTGTCCCTGCCCACTGTTTCCAAGTGCTCACATTCTGGGACAGAGCCAGGCCCTGTGCTCTAATCCTGAGGCTCCTCTCAGCTCTGTTTCCCCATCTGTAATCCCGGGACAAACATCTGTGCAGCTCCAGGACTATCCTTTCTACCCCTCCTTGGATCCCTCCTCCCTAAACATGGACTGTCCCTCCGATATTGACCAAGAACTTCTCACCAATACCTACGCACCTCTGCCCAGTCCTGCTTTGCAAAGCAAAGACGCCTGGAAAATCCCAGCAGGGCATAATTCCCCATCCCCACCCCTGGTGGGGTCGGAAAATAAAACAATGTCCAAAGCCAACAAGTCACTGAAGGGCCATGCCAGGATGGTAAATGCTAGGCCCTGGGATGAAGGAGCGGGGGCCAAAGGCCTGGCCTGCTCAGGCCATGATCAGGCTGTAAGTAAGGTGCCCTGATGAGGCCAAGGGTCTTCCTCCAACGTGGGGGGTGGACCCACTGCTAGGGCCTGGCCCATGACTACATCCTTCCCAGACCCCAAGGGTCCCCTAGTGCCTGCGGGTGGACACCACAAGCCTGCGGATTGTGAGTGCGTGACTGGAGCCGAGGCACAGAACCTGGGCTTCCCCATCAGGACAGCATCCGACTGTGCGATCACCATGCGGTGACGTAGCTGTCTGCTTGCGGCTGGCCTGGAGCCCGGAGGCGGAGACTCCTCTCCGCCTACCCCGGGGCACGCAGGAGGAGATGGCACCGCGAGGCTGGAAGTTAGGAAGGTGGCGTGGGAGGTGGCGGGAGTCTGGGTAAGCGGTTCCCAGGCTTCACCGCCGCGCAGTCGGGCGTGGGCACTGCTCGGTGTGCGTGTCGGGGGCGCACCTGCTGGAGGTCCCAAGCCCCCGGGGCCACCACTCGCGCCCCGGACAGGACAAGTGGGACGAGGCCCCGGCACAGGATCCACCACCACGCGGCGCGCACCGGTCCGGTCGCCCACAAGCGCCAGCGAAGCCGGGTGCGGGGGGCCCACAGAGGGAGGCGCCGGCCACGGTCACGCAGTGGCCGAGGGAGGGCGGGGGGGGGTCTTACCGAGGCCTCCGGGGAGCCGGGGGAGCCCGGGTGCAGCTCGCCGTTGAGCTCGTACTCCTCAGTGGCCAAGTCCATGGTGGGGCCACCCGGGCCACCTCGCTCCGGGCCTAAGTGCGCCCGCGCCTCTACCGCCGGGTCCCGGCTGTGCGCCCGCTCCCGCCCCGCCCCGCCCCGCCATGCCCGCCCTGCCACGCCCCAAGCTCCGCCCCCGCCATGCCACGCCCCAAGCTCCGCCCCGGATGCGCACCTTATAAAGTGAGACCAAGAAGCAGCCCTCTTCTGGCCACTGTGCTAACTGCTCGGCGCAGCTTAGGGGTGAGCGGGCGGGGCTGCTGCCGCCCTCCGGGTTGATAGGGATTTTCCTCGGGCAGGGATCCATGAGACTGCAATGGCGCAAGACAGAAACTGGTGTCAACGGTCCTTGTAGCCCCGCTGGTTGTCTCTGGGCCACCTTGGCATGTGGTTTCCCACTCTTGGCCCCCCTGGCTGGAGGATGGGGCTATGAAGACCTTTTACGCAAAGAGAGGCAGAGTGGGGTCAATAATAGGGCAGGATCTGTGTCCCGAGGGAGACAGGACAGGCTACCCTGCTCCCGGGTAGCACCTTGTGTTCAAGTCAGCCCTAGGCAGGCAGTTTGTTGGCTCCTCCAACCCTTGGCTCAATCGTCCCTTGTTTCCCAGGACATCCTGGGACCTCTTCCCAGGGGGAAGCCAGGTAGGGTGCACTGGGATTGTTGTCTTCCAGGGAACACCAGCTGCAGGAGCTTGGGGTGAAGGTGAAGGCCAGTGCTGACCCTGACCTCACTCCTGTTGCTTTTCACACCCCCACACAGATGTGCCCCAGACTTGTGCATTTTATTGTGTCGGCTGGTGCCTTCCTGAGAGTCTCCCAAGTTTTGAGCAGACCTAAGGGCCCCTGGGGAGGCCAGCTGGGGCCCAGCAGGAGTAGCTAAGATGGCTGGCTTAACCTCTCTGTGAGTCACCTCCCCAACTATGTCTTGTCTAGGCTGGAGTTTGGTCAAGGCCAGGCAAGCCTTATCTCTTTTTTTCCCCTCCCACAAGGAACTGAACAGCAGAGAGGTTTAGAAATGGTGCCCAAGGTCACCTGCAAGCCAGGTCCTCTTGGAGGTGCTGGGCGCTGGAACAAGGTTGTGAGAGTTGATGGGACAGACCTGTGTGGGGCCTGATGCCTGTCACTTCTTGTCTTAAGAACAGCCCTGGGACACGGGCAGACTCCCTCCTTACCCAATGGGGAAGGAAACTGAGGCAGAACACTGAGGGAGAGGCTCAGTCAGGAGCGCCCAGCCCAGGAGACCATGCTCAGAACTCCTAGAGGTTGTGTCCCCCACTCCATGCCCCCCATCTCCCTGGACAGGCAGGACAGACAGCCTCCCACAGGGTGTTGGAACCTGGTGCCTGCCCTATGCCCGTGGAACCCCGTGCTCAACTCCCTCACCCCACGCTTTGCCTCTCTAGGGGAGAAGGTGGCGAACTTAGAAAGTGAAACCGAAGGTACAGAAAAATGCAAGTCACTCTGAGGGATTTATCAGAAAAAGGGATCTTTAGTCACCCTGGTCCAGGCTGTGCTCCTGACCCGGAGCACATCTGTGCTGTCTGTGGTGGGGGTTGGGGTAACTGGGGGTAGCAATGGGGGGTAGCAATGTGACCAGATTCCAACCTGGCCCTCACTGGTTATGTGATCAAGTCTTGTTGCTTGGCTTTGATTCACTGCTTTGCCCATCTGGGGGTCAGGGGCATGTGTGGACCACCTGGAGGCCAGGAAGTTCACTCTGACCACAGCCCCTTGGGTTCCACAGCCCACAGATTAGTCTGCCAAGCTAATATTTGGGCTGGACCCCCACCCAGGACAGGAGGTGGGGAGCACTAGGGTGTTGTGGCAGGGCAGCCAAACCTGTGTGCACATGTGACAGCCCAGGAGAGGGCCTGGCACTTCCAACTGGGCTACACCAGAGAGGAGCTGTGGTTAGTTTTTGCATTGCTGTGACAAATGAAAAAACTAACTTAAGAGAAAAGCAACTTAAAAGGAGGAGAAATTTATTTGGGCTCTCAGTTTCGGTCCCTGGTCAGCTGGCGAGGCTGAAACATCAGGGTGGAAGGGCATGACCAGGAAAGCTGCTCGCATCATGGAGGCCAGCGAGCAGAGAGATAGACGAAGGAAGTGGCCAGAGACAAGGTATGTCCAGGCTTGTCCCCAGTGACACACTTCCTCTAGGCCCCACTACTAGTTTCTACCACTTCCTGAAAATGCCATGAAATTATTAACGCATTGATTAGATCAGCGCCCTCGGCATCCAGTCACCTCCCAATGATTGGATCTACCAGTTGAGTTTTAGGGGACGCTTTATATGGAAACCATGATAGCCCCTTCGCAACTGAGGCCCGGAGACGTTGTCACTGCCTGAGGGGTTTCCTGAGCAGGATGTGGACATGGAGGCCCGTTACAGTGGTGGTCAGTATTTTCTATCATCCAGGTCGCTGTTGCCTCACGTGATTGTCCCAAGTAGGTGGAAACCCAGACCTGTGGACGTGGACACCGCCCACACACAAACACCCCGCCTCCAGCACCAGCTGGTGGGCAGCGCAGCCCTGTGTGGCAGCTCCGGGAGGGAAAGTGACCGTGGAGAAAATGTTTTGGGTAGGTTGAAGGTGGTAGGCTGGAAGGCCTCTGGGCACCGGGCCCCACTGGGGAGTTTTCTGTCCTTTGGGCCTACTGGCAGCTCTGAGCTGTTGAGGCTCCTTTTTCCCGCTTTCCATGGAAGCCAGGAAGATTGTGGCATAGCAACCAGAAATCACATTCAGTTTGTAAATCTGCTGTGTGCTACCTCCCTTGCCAGCGTTAGTTTCTCCAGCTGTCAAGGGGCAGAGGTGGTGCTTTTCTTAGGCTGGGCAGGACCTCCTTAGCCCCCTGCCCTTCTCAGTGTGTCCCCCCTCTACTGTGTCATCCTCCTTTGCCAGTGAAATGCACTCAGGGCTGTTTACCAGACTCTTCTGTGCTGGATCCCACCCAGGGCAAGTCTTAAAGGGACAGTGCCCACTGTAGCCCTGCTTCCAAGGTCTTCTGGAGACACTGAGCAAATGGAGCCATCCACAGCCAGCTCCTGCACACTGGCCCAGAGCAATAACTGCCCATAGGGGAAGTGACCACTAGAAGTGTCCCTGAGAGAGACACCAGAAGGAAGGACTCAGCAGGACAGTGGCTGAGTCCTGTCTGCTGTGACAGAGAGACACTGGGCATGTGCACAAGGACACTGGACCTTTGCTGAACAGCCCAAGGCCAGTGTCCCAGGCTGTGTTCCCGGTGCCTGGGCAGTCTTGGTGTGTCACTCTCCCCCAGGAAAGATGCTAATTAATTCTTCTGGGGTGGCTGAGAGGCAACTGCTTAACAAAGGAATGGGGTATCTCTCATCCTGGCCACGCTCACTCCTCCCTGCCTGAGTCATCAGGAGATGGTCTCCTTTGCAGAGCGCAGGGCTGGAAACCGAAAGCCAGGCCCCTTCTCCCTCACCAGCCTGTCCCAGGAGTGGGGCAGGGCATGGACAATCTGAGCTCCCACGCTACTGTAGGAAGCCAGAGCTGCCACTGGATTTGCGAGAGCTTGGGTGATGGCCTTGAGCCATTAGACATTCAGCAGGTGGGACAGATTGAGTCTTCCTGACTCAGGAACCTGGGGAAGTGACCAGTGCCAGGATCCTGCATCTCTGAGAGGCCTGGAGGCAGGGATGCAGCTCCATGTCACAGAGCTAGAGAACAAGGCAGGAGAGGCAGCATGGCATGCCCCAGGTGGTCCACTGTCTGCCTACACACACACCCAGCACCAGGGCACTGCCAGCACAGGGCGGGACCTGTCCACCCTGCCCACCAGAGGAGCCTGGTAACTGGCCTGCATTTCCAGCTGGTGTTCTTGGACACGCACAACTCCTACCAGGTCACGCTCAGGGTGGGGAGGTGGATGGGCAGCATGGCCTTCCCATTTCTACAGGGACAGAGGAACGAGAGTGGCCTATGAGAGAGCTACACCATCCTCCCTATGCTAGAGACAGGACATTGGAGGCTCCAAGAGCCTAGGGACTTGCCAAGGTCACTTTGCAGGGCCCAGTGGAAGCAGAAGGCTGGGTGAGATGAAGTGAGATGCAGGCACGTGATGGTCTTGCACTATCCGCCAGAGGGAAGTGACATTCCCAAGGCCACATAGCAAGGCACAGCTGCCCTAGAAAGCCATCGAACGGCAGAAACATGGTGCATGCCACCATATGAGAGGAATGAAGTGAATAATGGCTGTCTGCCACGTGGAGGGTCCAGAGTCAGCCCATGGCTGATGCAGGTTGAAGCAGAAAGCCAGCCCCAGCCTTTGATCCTGACCACTGGAACATCTCTCTCTCCCTTGGGACTCTCCAAGGGCCAGGTAGAGAAATGGTGTCATTTGTAGGCATCTATGCTCACCAAAGCCCTGTCCCCTAGGCTTTGTCCCAGGCAGCACTATCCCAGGTAGGGAGCATAGCTATCTCCATGGTCTGTTTTCCCCTTCTCCCTCAGTCACAGACTCCTGAGACTCAGACAATCTAGGTATATGCTTGTGGCTCCATTCTGCCAATGAAAGGGGTATGCTCAACATCAGGGAAGGAACCTTCCTGCTGAGTAGAGAATGGGTGTAATGGCTGGAGCTCCAACAGCCATAATGGACTATGAGGACACTTTGGGCCCAGGAATCTCATATAGCAGAGCCAAAGACAGAAGAAACCAGTGTCCCCAGTGCTCTGATCTCAGGCTCTCCCTCGGTTGCCTACTCCAGACTTCTTACTGTAAGAAAAAGAAAACAATCTATCTTGTTTCGAAGCTTCCATAATTTTGTTTTCTTCTAATATTAGATTTCAATTCTAATTGAAAATTTAAATTCTGACTGAAAAGACAACTTAGAATATGCTACTGGCCTTTCTAAATCCTCTGAAGACCTCCCATGAAACCTCTCACTCAGCCCCTGCCTCTGCCCCCCATCCCACTGCCCTCCTCTCTCTACTCCAGCCACCCCCCACCCCGATCTTTGTTCCATTGAGTCCTTTTTGCTTCTGGATCTTTGTGCTCTCCATTCCTCCACTAAATATCCTGCCCCAGGTTCTTCCTGTT